ATTGCACAGTAATTTACCTAAGCATGATGTATGTTTTTGGTACACTGAGAAGAAAAGACGTAACATGAACAGATATTTTTCTATTTTTTAATTATTTTTTTAAATTAAATATTTATCTACTTAATACACTTGGTGATGTGCAGTCCCCTCCTTTAAAGATGTTTAATTTTCAAATAGTATTTTAGGTGAGGTGATCATTTTTTAATTTGAAATCTGTGGGACTAATTTATTTAATCTGTTTCATAATGCAGCTGCCGTCCAACCCCATCAATGCCTGCTGATGAAAGGGATCATTGGCCATCATCAAGTTTGTGGTTTGAATGTAGCTGGGCTGAAAAAATTGAAAGAGTCTTTACTGATTGACTGAGTCGAGACATTAATTAATTAGGGTTCACTTAAATGAAGATGAAAATGAGTCCTTTGAGTGAATGATGTGGCAGCGTAAGGTGTGTAGTGCATCTCTATCTAATAGATATGAGCTACTAAAACATTTTAACTTCAGCACTGGCAAATGCCACGTTACCCATGCCCACACATAAACTTCCCAAGTACATTTAAGACATTTAATGCTTTGTACATTTAAGTAGAGTCCATGCTCAGCAGAACACAGATAAATAATGACATCACAATCCTCTGTTAATTATTTCCCATTGATTTTTGAAAGGTGCCATGTAAATCTCAGTTATAACTGTATTCTTATTATTTGCCAAACTGAGTTTTGTCAATTGGATTATTATTTTACCTTTTGTAGGTGAGTGCAAAATTCAAGAGAATTATAATCCATTTGCAGTCCAAGTCCAAGTTCTTCTCCCAGCTGTAAAGTCTTTCGGCAAACTTTATTAAGATATATGCCAAGAAGACAGAAAAAATAAGGCCATCATGGCATCTACAACCCAGGTATGATAAGATATATTTATAAAAGACCAATTCAAGAAAGTTTGGATATTATGTAAAGTGTAACTGCATGAATGCAGTGATTTGGGAGATGCAGGCCCAACAGCTGTCAAGGTTGAGGATTGAGTGGACTCGGGCGCGGAGCTCTGAATATACGCAGTGCGTTTATTTACAGTGGATAAAAGTTGGCCATAGCTAGAATGTGCAATAATAATAGTTGGTGCGTCCTCCTTCCTGTGCTCAGACCGTGCGTGAGTGTGCCCGTCTCTTCTCCAAGTGCTTCCTTGTGCCAGTGAATCCTCCGTTCCAGTTCCTAGTTGCACACAGACAATAGTAGAGCAGACAACACTGAGCAAACACGAGTGGCTCGTAACACTACTAGGCTTACTGCAAAACAGCGCTGTCTGTTGCTCAGCCACACCATTAAATAGCCCTGCCCAAGATGGTGGATGATTGGCAGCAGCTGGTGAAGAATCGGTTGCAGGTGAGGCAGCTCAGGGCAACAGCACTTCAGGGTCGGAGGACCCTTGTTGCTAGGTGACCTCCGTAAACACCGCAGCGGAGCCGGAGGGGAAACAGAGCGAGAGAGGAAAACACACACACGCATATACACACAGGCAGGTCGACCAGTCGGGGCACCGTCCGACCCTGACAACAACACTGAATGAATGAAAACAAAAACTGAAGGACACAACACAGTGAAACACGTGTTAAGATAAATTTAGTTCTCATTTTTGCTGCTGTGCATGCACTGTTACATGAAAGCCTGTAATTACAAATACTGCACTTAACATAAACTGTAATAACGCTACATGTTTGGCTGTTTTTGTCCAGCACGGTGTTTGTCTACACATAAACCCTTAAGAAATTAGCCTCTATGAACCACTTAGCTGGAAGCTTCGTCTGTTCATCAAAAACAGAAAGACTAATTTACAGATGATGGGCAGAACATTTCCAGATTTCAGTGTGATTCTTTATTACTTAAACTCAGAGTTTGAACTGTTCTGTTTCCACATTACTGTCCACTCTCCTTCTGTCACAGTCCAGCCCACTGCTGTTAAAAAGGAAACACACTTTTAAATGATCATGCCAGCAAACGTTTATGCAAATAACCCCACCCTGTCACCACATTATAAAGAAGTTCAGGTGTTGATGCTGCTCACTGATTGGACTGTTGGTTTCAGCTCTGCTCTCAATCTTTACTGCACAGGTGACGGTAGAATATGTGACTGGACAGATTACAAACAGAAACTCACTCTGAATGTTTGTAGTATCAATATTTATACTACAAACAAAGCAGTGTGTTTGTGGGTTCGTCATAGCTGATCTGGTATCAGTGTCTTTACACAGGCAGCCACAACTGCTTGGTTTCATGTGAACAAATGAACTTTACTTTGACCAGTCTGACCAGTCTGAGCAGTTTGACGGCAACATTGAATTAAAAAAACAAAAACAAAAATCTGTTATTACACATTCAGTAAAGTCAGCATAATGATCAACATCTATGAAAATGTTACTGATTGGATTTGTCTTCAGTAAAGGAACATTTTTCTTCTTTCCATCATTCATAAA